AAAAAGACAAAAAATATAAAAGAGAGATTCATGCATGTTCTGTTTACCAGTAGTTCCATTCCTTTTCATTAACCCGTACGACGTTTAGGACAGTCACGGTGCTGCACCACCATCAGGACTTTCTAGGTCCAGAACATGTATACCCCACCCCCACCAAAGGAGACCCTGTACTCGTTCAGTACCTGGTCCCCGTCTTCCTGGCCAGTCCCTGGCACCTGCCATTCTACTGGGGACCTCACGTGAGAAGCATCGCACGGTATTTGTCCTTTGTGTCTTAATTCCTTTCACTGAGTGTAGAATCCTTGAGGTCCCTCTGGGTCACAGCATGAATATGGGTTTCATCCCTTTCCATGGCTGAGTCACGCCTCTTTTTATGAAGTTACCACATTTTTTTAATCCATTCATCTTTGGAAGGCATTTCCGGCTTTTGGCAGTTGTCAGTAAAACTGTTATAAACATCCATGGACAATTCTTTTATTTAGTTGAATATACATCTCCATGACATATACCTAGAAACTGGTAGGTTACTACAGTTATAGGTATTAAAGCCTAGCTTTTCTTAAGCCTGTAAGTTGGATGTATGCATGTTATTTTATTTCTAAATATTTTAGTGAATAATTAGGCATAGATTTTGGTTATTTTTGTTATGAAAATAATAAAACTTTCATATGTAATTTGGTTAGTTGGAAATTAATTTAAGATGTCTACTAAGTGTGCATCCCTATGGTTTTCAGACTAAATTTCTGTAAATAATTGCCCCTGTTCAAACTCCCTGAAGCATTTTATTCTATGTTTACAAACAACCTTATTCCCTTCCATACTTCAAGTACCTAATGAGGAAGATTTACAAATCTGACGGTTCAGGTCATTAGGGCCTTCAACTGACTCCAAATTTCAGTTAATCATATATATATATAAATTTGAAGCATGTAATAATTCAGACCCTCCCAACAATACAGTTTATAAGCAGCCACATTCTTGAAAATTGATCCTATTAAAATCACAAACCAGATTGCAATTTCCAATGAGATTTTATGGTTCCCTAATGTATCAAATTGTTCCATGCCTTATAAATAACAGAAGTTTCCACATTTTCAGGATAAAGAACTCAAAACCTTCGAAATTTAACACAAAAGTATTACAACTATGGATCTGTAATTTGCATCTATGTAGTTTTTCCTGAGAATAGAAAAAAAGTTTCCCACCTTAAAAGAATTAGGTCTCATAC